GGTGGATTCCACCAAAAGCCACGGTTTCTCTCGCTTGTCAGCCAAAGTGAAAGAACGCATAAAGATGCCGAGTTTATTTTTTAATTTCCGTTTATGAGTTGAAAAACGCAACAAATTAGATTTGTTTGGAATTCGGTTTGCTTTCAACGGATTTCCAATTTGATTCATTAGAAAAAGCAATAATTAAACTGGAAAATGAATTAAATCATAAAAATTATAAACAATTCCATTAATTTTCAAAGAAAATACATGTTTCGTGGGGAATTTTTTAATATAATGGTCAAATTTTGTGAAAAAATTGTCCTTTGAATACTTTTATCACGAAAAAGTGTTAATATGAATGATAAATATTTTTTAAAAATTAGTTTTTGTACTAATTCTTGTCAAAATGATTTCACAGCTCATGAATTATGGCTGCAGCCCGCAGCCAAAACATATAAAGCAGGATATTGTTTTTTTCTTAAACAATAAACAGCTCACAAATTTAATCCCATTTAGGAAAAGCCAACTTTAAATTCAAATCAACAAAAATACATTTTTTATCAATTAAAAAAAAATAACAATCAAATAGTTTTATGATAAATAGAAAACTCTTTCCCAAACTTAGGATTTTAAAGAACCATATTTTTTTTTAAACACCATTTTATCAAGCAGGTTAAAAATATAAGATCTTGAGAAAATTATGAAATATTAAAAATTTCCCTAAATTTTATAGAAGATGCATTTTTTCAACTAATTGCTAAAATTGATTTGATATAAAACTGCAGCACTGGTAATTTTTTTACACCAAAAACGGCTGTTGTTGTAAAAATGGATTATTACTCAGCACATTTTATTTGGAAGTGCTTTCAATGTTTTAGTAGCTTCAATGCTTTCTGCTCTCCATTATCTTGCTGAGACTATGTTCAATCGAATGTAGCACAACTTGGTGCATTTCGGTTTATTTGACCTCTCTTATCCTTCAAACACACATTTTACTCCGCTCTCCGGAGATCGGCCAGCGTTATTTTCTTTACGAGCGCAACTGCTGCTGGCCCCTGGTCGGCTAACGAAACTTTTAAGATTCGTTTAATATTCCTGGTCACAACCACCGACACTTGTTTGGCTCTTCCCTCATTCTCATGCACGAGGAGGCGGCAGGAGAAGCAAAAAAAAAAAGATGCACACACACACAAACTTCTTTCACATTCTTGGGCGTATTACATACTAAGGGAAAAAAACAACACGTAGCCCAGCTAGCCAGTGCGCTGATGCCTATTGAATACTTATTTATGTTATGAAAAAGGAGCAAAGCTGCTGATGCAGCAAGCCAGCCCTCGCTCGCTCGCTCTCAATGGATGAATTGCCCTGCCAGAAATAAATAATGTATACATCCGAGCGCAGCCTTTAAAACCAAGCCAACTGTTGCGAATTGGATTTGAAGAGAATGGACAAAAAGGGAGTTTGCTTCTTTGTTGGTCGTGCTGAGTAGTCAAAAATTCCACCTGGGATCACCGAAATTCACAAAGAGCCTCAATTTTTTTTTAGTTCTCATGAAAATCATTTACAATTTAATGCGATTTTTAATGAATAAAAAAAATGTATAATTAATGAAAAGGAAAATAAATTACAGAGCCATTTACAAAATGGATAGAAGTTTTCATAAAATAAAATAAATGGGGTTGACAAAATTTGAGACTATATATTTTTTTTTAATTTTTTTTCTAGACGATTTTTGATACAGTCAAATCAGTGTTTGATTTTTTTGTTTGTTGCTAAATTTTGTATTCTGCAGTGTGGTTTAAGTGGGTCGAAAAATGTTAAGCAAGCTTAATTTTATTCATAAAATAATTTTCTTCCTAGTGCAATTTTGAGCAAAAAATATTGCACAATTTTTTGAACAAAAAACCCTTTTAAAAGTGATATAAAAAAAATACTCAACTGACAAAACGCAAATGTTTCCTGCTATAAATTAATTTCTTCTCTTTACCGGGGGAAAATACCTTCGTAGGTTTCACTGAGCCTGACATAATTATTTTTTTTTTCTAATTTAAATTAAGCACCAACTTTCTGTACTTTGGATTGAAAAAATTAGAATTAAAAATTCTAAAAAGGTGTTAATGATAAAAAAATTATTTTAAATTTCAAATTTCAACTTATATGATTTTTTTTAAATAATTATTGTGAAAATGTTACTTCTTGATTTGCTTATTGTTAAACAAGCTTACGATACATTATTTTCCTTTTGAAGTGACTTGGGCTTGTGATTGATGGCTTCTGAATTCCTTTCTCGGCATTGTTTGAAAACGCGCGGCGAGAACCTTTAATAGCGAGCAGTTCTGGTATCGTCGTGGAAAGGGATGTGAAATGTCAAGTTCAGCAGCCGCGAGTGTTCCCACACTGATGGCTGTGGAGCAAGGCCAGCCGAGTGAGCACCAAGCAAAGCCAGTATTGCAGGTCGCAGAGAGAAATAATGCACCGGGTTAAAAACTGGCCCCGCCGACGAGTGCAAGTTGCAAGCCAGAAAAGCGGCAAATGATACAATTACCAATTCAATGTCCCGTAACCAGTCTCGCGAGCGCTTCCACGAAGACAGGCGACAATTTATTTACTTTTAATTGGATAAACGCTGCATTCGGCGGCGGAGAATATATAAAATGATAATATTTCTCTTCCTCCTTTTTCGCTATTCGTGACGCTCCTCACCTTGGATTTTAAATGACTCACGCTTCGCCAAAGATGAAAATTTATTTACACCAAAAATTACTCCATCAGAGAAAGATGGAAACGCTCTCCGGAATCGACAATGAAGTGGAAATGGTTCAATTTCTCATTGTTGGTCGGACACGCGCAGTGGGAGTCTCTCTCGGCCAGGACGCCTATGATGATGCAGCGCTCACGAGTTTCTTCTTCTTTATAAAGCTATTTTAGGTAACGACCAGCTCGCGAGCACCCGAGACCGTTTGAAAAGATTCACCCTAACCTGTGTGCAGGATGTAAATGTGTCATTTATAGATCGCCCCAGGAAGAGAAAATAATTAAACTTTGAGCCTTGAATGCATCTCGAAATAGGCAAGATATAAACTTCAAAAGACTAAAAGAGCGCAAAGGCAACACTTCTTTTACCGCCGGCCAAGCATTCAAGTTTTCAACTTTCAAAGCCGGCTATGGATTTTTTGCTGAAATGGGGTCCAAAATTAAATAAAACCACGAAAAAATTGACAGGTTGCCCAGGTAAATTATTTCAATTATTTGTAATTCAATTCAATTCATATTATGAATTTTTATTATTTGATAATAATAAATTAAGATCATTGCAGATTTGATCAAAAGTGATTTAAAATAAAAAAAAAAATTCTATTTTTACAAAATTGACAGTGAGATTATTATTATCATCATTATCATTGATTTTTTCCAAGTTTTTATAACAAAACTTGCTGTTTCTTTATTTTTAATTTCAAGCTTAATTTCTTTTACATAAAAACTAATCAAATTCATTAACGTATATCTTAGCTTGAAAAATTAAAAAAATCAAGTTTATAAAACAAGGAAATATATCAAAATAGGTTATCAATTATCAACCCTCCTTATAACGTGGGCTTGGATTTTTTCGAACGAAGATTAATTATCCCGAGAATTTCCGAGAACCCCTGTTCTTATCTCTCTCGTGACTGATATTTCCCTCTTAATGATCTGCTTCACCTCACTTCAAAATTCGATACCGGCAGCAGTCTCAGATTTCCATCTCCATTGTGTTCGAAAAATCCCAAGCACGCCAATCTTTCTCCCGAGGGCATTTTTCACGAGGGCGTCTGGAGTGTCTTGGATTTTCAATCTTTCCTCCGACGAGTGCAGCAGACGTTTTTTTTTTTAAACAAGGAATATTATGTGCGAGGAAGAGCCGCACATCTTAAACAAATCAACAAAAGGCGCCATGCACTACATATTCATCTGGCACTCGTGAAATCTTATTTGCATTCGCCAGCGAGAAAGAAATAAAAATGCATGTGTGTAGTGACAACGGTGGCTCCAATTACCAGCCACCGCTTGCTACTCTGTGCACACTTGAGCGACAGGATCATAATTTCACCAGCAGACCTTTCAACCTGACTGACTGAGCGTCACGCTAAGAAATGCAATCTATGACAAAAGGGAGAGCTTGTAAAATTCATTCCCAGCTCACAACATACAAGTTGTCCCTTTCTTAACAAGCCAACATTCATTTTTTTAAATATAGAATTTTTTCTCGTCTTAAATTTCATTGTCTTCAAACCTTAATCATTTTATAAATTTTCGTAAAATATAATATTATGATAAGAAATTTCTTTAAAATGTTAATTTTTTAGATTGAATTTTTTATCAGAAACATTTAAAAATGAGAAATTTCCACGCTGATTTCTTGTTTAAATTTGAAGCACACCGGAAATATAAATTTGCCAGAGAAAAAACACAACGTATACTAAATAGCGATAAAATCTCAGTTTTGTTTAAAACTATTTTCGGCTCCAGCGAGTGACGAGAGCAAAATCTGCAACATAATGTGCGACACATGTGTCAGCATGGTGCGGGCTAAATTTACTTTTAAGACACTTTGACTGGCTGGTTCTTCCGCTGCGATAACATTTAACATGTCTCTTCCCCCGACAAGTACCGGCATTAAAAATCCTCCCTCGCATCAAGAAGGAAGAAAGACTGACATGTGGAGTCACAAATTACCAGGCGAGAATGACTTTGGTAAATTGTAACCAAACCGTCGTTAGTGCTCAAAGTTAAACTAATTCACTGTGGAAGGGGTAAAATAATTTACGATCTTCACTTGAAATTTCTTGATAATTATTAAATTAAAATAAAAATCTTCAAAAATGGTCAATTGTTTTCTTTCATCGGGAGATGCTCGACTGAAAATAGGAGGAAACAAAGCGTTTTGTGGTGGGTGAGCAGCAATTTAAATTCCTGCGTGAGTGACCGTGCCAAACATTGTGGTCGACCAAAGGACCCCCAATTATTGCCCAAGCACTCACCTTTGCTGCGGTGGCGGCGACGGCAGAGATGCATCGCGTCGGTTGCTCTTTTCGGCGATGTCATCACCACTTTCCTCGAGAACTCCGTTGCCAGAGCTGAGGGACAGCGAGGAACTCGAGCCGCTGCCAGGAGTGCCACCGTTCACTTGGCTCTCCGACATCTTTGGCAGCTCGATTTGCTTTTTCTCGCCTGGAAAAAAGGAAATCAGAAATATGAACATACAATTTCACAGCATTGTATTTTATGCACACAAATTAAAAAGTCATTATAAAAAGGGTATTTCTATGGTCAAATTTTCAAATCATGCAAGAAGTTAAAAAAAATTCAAATTCTTTAAATTTGAGGTATTTTTGTGGTAGAATTTCACGATCGAGGGTCGATTCATGGCGATTTGAATTTTAAGTCAGTTTTTTCCTTGACGAGTTTCGTGAGTTGTTTAGCGACGAATAACAAGAATGCATTTCCACACAAAAAAGTTTCCCATTGAAAACTGGCTTGATTTTGGACTTTTAATAATAAAAATAAATCAGGAAATATGTATTATTAATAAAATAAGGTAAATGTGTCATCAACTTAAAAAAAAAGTAAAAATAATAAGAAAATATTGAGCTGATTTCCTTTAACTCTGATTATGTTTTTATCTAAAAATTTCAACATATAATTTTTCTGCAACACAAAAGAGACCCGCAGAAAAAACTACTATTGGTTATTAGTAAAGTGATTAGCAAAAAAATATAGCAAGTCACTTTTCATTTACATTCCATAATATTCATAAAATCGGCATAGATTCACTTAATGATTAAAACTATAACAAAACAATAATATAATATGCCGCGTATAAAAGAAGTTGTCATTTATTAAAAACGCTTTTCATCTCTCGTTTCGCTGCTGCGTGACAACGTGAAAACTTTCAGGGTGAAACGATTTTCCCCGCAGGAAGCGAACTTTCAGGCCCAAAAGCAAAACAAAATCTAAGCCGGTGCAACAATTCCCCGGCACGTTTTCTTTTTGTCAAAACACAAAAGTCGTGCATGCATTCGTCCGCAGGCAGCCCCAGAAATGAATGTGGAGCTCGGCAAAGTGGACCGCGAGAGCAGGCTGGACCGAAAAAAAGAGTGGAGGAAAAATCTCACACTCAAGGCCGCGCTCGACAAAGAATATCTAATTTAATGCGAGGCACAATACGGAGTAAAAAATAAAAACGATCACGAGGAGGAAACGGAGAACGACTCGGACGGCCGAAGAAAACTGGTGACTGACGGACAGACGGACGGACAAACGCTTCCCATCCATCGCTCCGTCATTAGCCTTCAACCTCGGCGCGGAATTAAAACAATTCATTCTTCTCTTCTTTTCCACGCTCGACGCTATTAATAATTAATTTTTCGTAAGGCAGGCGCAATTTCACAATTATCTTGAGCGTCGACGCATATCCTGTGCGCAGCCCGCACGAAAAACCAGTGAATCTTCTCGCTTTTTCGTTCCACTCATTGTTCTTAGCGCAAACAGCTGTTGCCGATTGCCATCGACACTTCTTCAAATTCTTCTCGCCATGGAAATTAATTCGCAGGAAATGAATGAAAGAGGAATTTTGCATAACAAATAACGCCTTTCTCATCGGAACGGATCGACTGTTTGTTTAAAAACTGCCTTCCTTTGATATTCTCATGATGTTTAAATAACAATTTCAAATCTCAAAGCATGATGAAAGTTATGAAATTTTATGCTTTCTGAGGAATTCTTCCATGGATACATAAATATTTTAAAACCAGCAACATCAACGTTAATTTAGTTTATTATATATTTTTTACAATAAAAGAGTTTGAGCAATTATTTGGAATTTCATAAAATAAGAAAAGAAAAATTAAACCTTGAAAATTTCTTCCAATTACTGCAAATTTCGGCCAAAATGTTAAAATGGAAATTTTGAGGTCGAGCTGTCGTACTAAATTTAAGTAGATAATTTATTGGGGTTCTTTAATGAAAAATTTGAATGAATTTTAGTTATTTCAGTTAATTTTATTCCGACTGAATTTATGCGCAAATTTTTTTTAAATTAAATTTAAAACGCTCCAGTTTTTGAGACATTCGTTCAAAAATAAAAACTCTTTGCAGAAAGAAAAAAATTTAAAAACAGTCTCCGAGTAAAATTTATCTTTCGGACTGATTAAATTGCCCAAAAATCCAAATCTCCTTTCCATCCATGGAGCCACCGAGTGATTTAATCCGCTTACTCGTCAAAGCCGCAGGAGCGAAATCTTAGAAACCAAAACATGGTACGCACCGAATGAGCATTGGAATCGCTTATGAATTTTTTTCCATAATGCGACGAGTCGCGTCTCCGGTGAAAATAAATATAATATGCGCACGATACGAAAAAGCTCGTGTGATTTCCCATCAAGAATCCTGCGTTCAAATTACCGCCGACCAAAGCAAGCTGTGGGAAATCACGAACGACGCGTCGCTGATCGCATGCAAATCATGAATGAAACTCATAAATCAGCATTGATCGTGATGAATAATCGGTTTGATATGAAATTTCGCATTAACGCTGGTGTTGCAGAAATTTGCAATTGACGATCAGCAAAAATTTTCTTCGGCTGACGCTATGCAGCGGAAATGTAAAAAAAGGTTTAAATTATAACATTTAGATGAATTTCACTGAAAGCAGCACATTAAAAAATTAATTATTTAATTTTATTAATGCCATTTTTTAATTATTTCTACAATTCAGAAAAATAATATGCAAATTAATAAAAAAAATATATATTAAATTCTACACGAAATTTTTAAATCTTGTAAATTAAAATTTTTTCTCTTGAATTGCTGATCATTTTTGAATTTTTTTTTAATTTTTCATTTTTTACCTGTTGCAGCGTTATTGCTGCCGGCGTCGACGAGCAGGCTGGTGAGCACATGAGGACACTCTTTCTCGAGGGCGTAGCACAGCTCCCTGAAGGCGGACAACCCCTTCTGGGCGAGCACCCTGACGAAGACGTCGCACCGGAGGTTGGCGTCGGTGTGGCTGTTGACGGCCTGCTCCTCATCGACCGAGAGCACACCCTTTTTCACCAGCAAGCCGAGGATCTTGGTCGACTCGAGCTCGCGCGAAATCAGTTCCCTGTTCCTGTCGAGCAGTCGAGACACAGCATCCAACCCGGCCATACTGACATGCTTCACTAAACCAGACGAGTAAAAACAACTCGGCTTTGTTATTATGGCCGGCTGCAGGCTTCGTCGTCTTCCTCACTCAAGGTCTCTCTCGATCTCTTCTTGGCGGCAGGTGCACGGCGTCCACTCTCACTGTCCGATTCGTGCGCACGAAACGATTTCGTCCATCACCTCGGACACCGGCGCCGAATCGATCCGCCAAGTCGGCACCGACGAATTCCACCGCAGAGAGATGCTGTCGAATATAATGTTATTGAGCATTCGCGCGGCTCCTTCGCTGTCTCTCTCACTTGAGGCACGCATTCGAGTTTTTCTCACGATTCGGTGGTGTGTGGGAGTGGGAGGAAGTGGCGCGTGGAGGGGGCATTTAGTAAAGGCGCGCACCACCTATGCAGGAGGTATGCAACCTGCAGTCCTCTGCAGAAGGAATAATATATTAAAAAATTTTTTGAGAACTACGAACAAAAAAAATCTTTACGACGTCAGTGAAGATTAAGAAGAAGAAAATGAATTTTAAAACCTTTAGTTAGGACATACAAATATTAATATCAAATAAATTATTAGGCTATTTTGCAACTAAATCAAAATAGTTGAAGCAAAAGAATAATTCCCTCAAATTATATTGTTAAATTTTTGCTTCAAGTATCAATCAACAAAGTCAAAATTATCAAAACTTCTAAGAAAAATTTAATGATTTCAAATACTTTATTTTGAAAAATTCATTGACACAAATTATTTTACGTTTTAAACGTACAATGAAATTATTGTTTTTGGTCCATCACGTTACGTTATATAACAAAAAAGCAAACTTTCAAACCATAAAAAATGGCATGTAAACTTGGGGAGTATTATCATCAAATGATTTTAATGTTGACTAACAAAATTGTTTAGTCTAAATTATATTCTTGAAGAATGAGAAAAAAAGTGTGGCACACAGGGAAAAATATCAATTTGTACTAATTTCGACCTCGGCAGCAACATGTGGAATATCAGCGGCAGGAGCAACCAAATTTTGAAGAACTTGGATATTTGCAAATGCAGTGGTGCCACAGTTCAGGCAAGTATCACTGTGAGGGCTGCAATCGACATGAAGCCACTGCCAACATCCAATGCACTCCATCCAGTCGGAACTTTTGGTAGTCATGTGGTATGGCTCCCTACATACATAACATGGGGTCTGGTCAACTGAAACAGTTTTTTTTTAGTCAACTGAAAGATTTTTACTCCTACCAGAACAATAACTTTGATGGCTTTATGTTTATTAACAATATAGTCACTTAACTGAATATACACCATGCAAAATAATTAATACCTTGGATATTGATATAATTATAATTTAAAAGTATTTTTCTTTCAAATATAGTTTTTGACAGTTTTTGATTTATAAACTCATCATGAACTTATAAATTTTAAGATATTATAGAAGAAACATTAACTCATTTAACAAATATTATGTCATCAACAGAATCAGACGAACCTTCAAGTGATTTACGCTGCTTGCTAGTCTTAGGTAGGCCTTTTTTCTTTTTGCTGGAAGTCGGACCTGACAAATAAAGGAATTTTTATACATGTTTCAATGTGACTTATATGTCTCACTTGATTCAGAAGAATCTTCCTTGTAATTCACAGGCTTCCGCCTTCTCACTCTTCTATTCAGAGGAATCTTTTCTTTGACGTTTTCATCCTCGTCCTCATCAGGAATGTGCATGACCATGTTGATTGACTTAATTCTGTTGCTTCTAAGAGCGTCTACCCCATGGACGCTCTCGACGTGGCGCTCAACCCTCTTCTTGCAAAGTTGCAACCAGTTGCAAATGGGACAAACATGTCCAAGCAGGATGTTTGGCTTAATAGGAGCAGGGTAGGCATTCAGAGAGATGGTCTTTGGCTCATCTGTAATGTTACTGTGCATTTTGCGCCAGTGTGCCTTGATTCCGTCTTTATAGGGAGAACTAAATGCTTGACACCCCGAGCAACAATAGTTGTACTCGCCAGTGTGAAAAGTGCAATGGTCAGCACACGTGGAGAGATCTTGTAACATGGCAGGGCAGAGGCGACACCTATATTGCCCTTGTATTGGAGGTTCCACTCCCTGGGACAACTCTTCCTCGGCCAATTGCAAATCATGGGACGAAATCCTGGAGATCAGAACCTATAAAAATATATTTCAAAATATAAACTTCTATATTTAATAACATAATTCTTTTATATGTATGATAATTGAATATAAAAAAGTGATTTTTCAATAATTTTCTTTAAGGTAACACACATTATTAAATTGCATTTATATTATTATTGTTTACTCCTCCACAATTTTTATAAATGAATTGGCATTTACCTCAGCATCACTGTGTTTCTCCTTGTAGTGTCTTGTGATTAATTTAAATGATTGTCTGCAGATGAGGCACCGAGTTTTGTCTTCATTGGTTGTAACATAGTAGTAATCAGGATCGTGCATGGTCCTGTAGTCCTTGAAGTACCTCTTTGGGTTTGCACTTGCAGATGGACCACCAGGCGGGCTCTTTTGTTTCCCTTTAGCAGTGCTTATCATCAAGGCCTGTTGGGAGGCAGCAGGGGAGGATCTTTCCAACACCACCCTCGGTTGAGTTGTAGCCTGAGAAGAATTGCTTTCCTGAGCACAAAAGGCGAGTGAAGTCTCCGACACTGGTCTCTTCAGAATTCCTGGCTTGGGTACGATTGGCGTCTTGGCCAAAGTCTCAGTTGGCAGAGAAGTCCTTTGATAGGTGCGACTTGGTTCCTTCGACATTGAAGGCTTTGGCTTGGCAAGAGGAACAACATCGTCGATGCGCAGCGACGACATTAAGTTGGTTCCAATAGGCGGATTGAACTTGCCAGAAGTCCTTCTCTGGGTTGTTCCTGGTTTCACTGGGCTAGACCTTTTTATTCCTCCACCAGGAGCAGCAATGCCAGGCACCTGGCGCTGTCTGTACTCAGAGAGCGAAATCTTGCTTTTTGGTGGAGACACACCACTCGATGAACTGACAAGGGATATCTCTTTCGGTGGGCTCTTCTGCGGAGAGGACAGCAAAGACAATAAATTGATGGCTGAATTTGCCTCCTTGGTTGGTGCCGCCAATTTGGGTAATTGTTGACGAGCAAGTCTGGGATCTTTAATAGGTGTTGCTGAAATCTTTGGCTTCTCAATAGGAATGTCAAGTTCAGGAAACTCTAAATTTTCGTCTGCAAGAGCCTCCAGCACATCTTTGTTAACAAGATTGTCATCAGTCAAGTCGATGCGAGTTGGTGAATTTGTGCCATGTGACGCTGAATCAGGTGCGACTGCTTGATTCTCTTCGTTATCCTGACTATTTGAAACTTCATTAGCTTTCTCATTTTCGCTGGAAACTTTTGAAGTTTCAGTTGAAACTTCAGAAAGGATCACATCTTCATCAGAGTCTTCTAATTCAATCACAGTAGGAGGATTAACAGGCTTTGGTGGCTGCATGAGCATTGGTGGATAGGCAAAATATGGATTAGGCTGCGCAGGAAAATACGGATTGAGCTGAGAGGGGTATCCAAATGAAGTGTCATACGAGTAATTGCTGTCAAAAATAAATAAAATTTAATATGAATACTCTACAACTGTAATAATTGAATAAGCATAAAATTCTTTTTCGTTGAACAACAAATTTACAAGAATAACACTTACTAATAAGGCTGAGCAGCAGGTTGAATAAAAGGCTGTCTTGGCAGGTATTGAAGTGGCGAAGCAAATGCCACTCTTGCCTGCGGTGTAAACATTAGCCCTGGCTTTTGAGGAACCTGTGTATTATTATATTTTTTCCTAATGATTACTCAAATATGAATATCATCAATTTACATTATTTTGCAATGTTTGACAAGTCTGATTCACTATCCTTCCTACAGGTCGAGGGGGTTGCCCAGCGCAAGTCAAGGAGTTCTCGGCGCTTGTCTGTCCTCGGCCCATGGGTGCGTATGCATTGTGATCTGAGAATGCAGTCGAGCTGGCAGCAACGCTGTTGCCTTGTGTTGGGTCAAAATCTTCAGCACCAGACTCCTCCATATCAGGTCCAAACATTTTCATGGCTTGACAATCAATACTAGAAAATGATGAACAAAAAATAATTTCAAATAAAAATATAGAGCTTCTTCGATAGATTTTTTTTTTTTTTTAATAAAAATCATAGGCAAAACAGTACTGTATAATATAACGTGCGATAATGTGATAATGTAAAATACCTCAATTTCAGCAATGTACACTGTTCTACGAGAAAAATGGTGTTTTCTCCAGATTTGAAGAGGTCTTCACAATTTTTTAAGATTTCCTTTACTTCTATGCTCAATCTCTGAAATTGAAGGGATAATTTCATTATGAATAAACAATAATTAAACTATATTCATAATTTTAATGTATTATCTCAAAACTCAAAACCATGAAAATTATTTTTACTAAAATTTATATAAGTTGGAGAAATAAGGTTAAAGGATTCATGGTTATCTACATTTTTATTATTGGTCAAATTTTTTTCCAGTATGTAAATGACCCTCTTTTAGTTGAAATAAATTTCAGACTAAATAGCTACATATATACGCTCAACTAGAAGAAAATATAATTAAATATTGTCTTGATTCACTAAACGGCATTTTAGTTACAAAAAAAATTAATTATTTAAAAATTTTAATCATCACCAAATAATTTATTAATAAATTTTATTTATTCTGTCTTTAACAAGTTTTTTTTAATAGCTTTGTTGAAATGCCATTATATTTGTTAACTATTCTAATAAAAATTTGAGAAAACAGAAATTTAAAATTACCTGGGTGTGACTTTTCAGCTTCTCCAAATCCGCAGCCCTTAAAGGCTTTGGCAGTGTCTCGATTGCTTGCCATTCTCTACGAATCCGTTCAAAGTCTTTGGCCAGTCTTGCAGCCCCTAAAGTCTCCATGTCTGAAAAATGAAAGATAATTCTTGTTCATCATGAGCGCAAGATCAGGTGCACTAGCAAAAGCACGCCACTGTCTGAGGAAATATGATGCGCTTAAATTTTGCTGATACGGCTAAAGCTTTGCGAAATTGGAGGAAATTAAAAGTCGCGTATACAAATTACGGTGGATCTATAGATGGTTCAACAAGCCGTAAAAAAACGATATTCGTGATGGCAAAATACAATTAACGAATGCAAAAATAAAATTCGCGAAACTCCATTATTTAGTATTTGAAGCTCCGAATACCCCTCCTAAAACATTTAGCAACAAAATTTCAAAAATAAAATGCAAACAGGACCGTAAATACGTTATAAAATCGCTGATAATAGTTTTTCTCCAAAACACCGACATTTTACGGACCGAGAATGACGCGCAACAAATATGTTAAATTGCTCACTCTCTCGAATGCTCTCGAATTCGAAAACTTGCCTAAACATGTACGATTTCGTCAACTTACCAACATGCGTGCCTTCCGAAATGCCTTTTTCGCCGCTTATCCACTTCAAATCGCATCAAATTTCAGATTTTGTTTCATGCAACAGCATAAACGACGCTCAAATGGCTGCCAAATGCAAATTCGCCATGATTTCGACCCTTGCTAGGTCGGAGTTGGATGTCGAAGAATTAGGGGAAGAGGAAAATTCTCAAGGTGCAATGACCTTGCTCTGCTCGTCTGCTCGGCACAGCTTTGGGGTGCTCAGTTCCGAAAAATCCTGCCCGCGAAAATCATCTTCGGCTTTGCTCGGGCCGCTCGGCTGCTGACTCGGCTCTTTGGATGCTGCTCGTTTAGCAAACATAACAAAGTTCATTCAAATCAAATAAATTTAAAATAAATTTATACTTTCTGAAATAATTCAATATAAACCAAATTTTTAATTTTATTGTTGATTTCTGCAATTTAAAATCATTTAGATGGTAACGTAAGAAATATATATTGGAAGCATATTTTTTATTTACTTTGGCAGTTATGATCCTCCTGTGCTGCCACCTTCGTTCTTCGTTCGGCAAATCGGCACTTTCGGTATGTTTACGAAAAAGAAAGATCACAGATCAAAGCAAAATTTTATAAACAGATTCTAATTTACAATTCTTACACTCTTTGGGTTGGCAATTTTCTTATAACTTCATAATCAAGTTTGTTGATTTCCTATCTTCTCAGGCGTAATACATGCACAAGAAATTTTACTGCTATTGAACAAATTACAGAAGAGTGAAAAAACATGCCGCCGGCAAAGGACATCGACGACAATAGCGATGCCGAGTCTGAAGGTTTGGTTTTCTGCAATAATCAAAGAAGATCAGAAAATTGTAAATAGTTATTTTAAATTTTCAGGAGGAAAAGGGTCCAGTGATTCAAGTGGATCGAGCGACAGCAGTCGCAGTGCGTCCCCTGAAGTTCCAGCAAACCAAGGTCCTCCACGACGCGCCGGTTCATCTGCTGCAAGCTCCCCAGCAGGAAACAAGAGGTTCATAAATATATTATAAACTTTAGTGGAATCATCATTTATAAATTTTTTCTCAGTGGCTCTTCAGCAAATAGCAGTCCGAGAAATAATTCTGGATCTGACGCAGAAAAAAGCAGAGCCTCGTCTCCCGCAGGTTCAGCACAAAACAGTCAGTTAATATTTTAACTAAAGCACACGGTTATTTAATTCATAGTTATTATTGAAAGGTGGTAAAGGAAGTCCAGCTGGAAGTAGGGACGCGAGTCCTCAGAGTGGAAGGAACAGTCGGGCTTCAAGTAAATCTGGCAGCGGCTCAAACAGGAGCGGAAGCGGCAGTCGCAGTGGCAGTGCAGCCAGCAAAAGGAGCCGCAGTGGAAGTGGCAGCCCAGCGAGCAGAAAGAGCGGAAGTGCTACAAGTGGGAAGAGCAGAAGTGCTAGTCCCGCCAGCAGAAAAAGCCGCAGTGCCAGTCCTGCTAGTAGGAGGAGCGGAAGTGCCGCAAGCAAAAAGAGTGGCAGCAGATCCAGGAGCGGCTCGGCTCGTTCAAGGTCAGGCAGTGGTTCCAGAAGGTCTAGGAGCGGAAGTGCTCAGTCTGGATCACGAAAGTCCAGGAGCAGAAGTGGATCTAGGGCCAGTGCGAGTCCTAAGTCTCGAGGTTCTCGAAGCGGAAGTGCTAAGAGCAGCGACTCAGGAGCTGAAGGGAAAAAGAAAGCAACGTAATTGCAAATTTTTGATTGAAAATAAATACAAATGCCGACTTAATTTATATAAGTGAATTATGGAATTATTTTGTTTTGTTGCAGTAAAAGGAAGCGTGCTGTTCTAAGTGACGACAGTGGCTCAGATGCTGATGCAAATAAACGCCAAGAAAAGGCTGGTTCCAGTAGTGGAGAGGAAAACGATGGTCAGTAGATCTATTGCTCCATGTATTTTTAAAAACTAAAATCAAACTTAAAATGCACAGCTACTGCTGCTGCTCTTTTTGGTGACGCTGACGACATCAGCTCAGACGAAGATGCTCCGAAAACATCTGCTCCAAAAGAAAAAGGCAGTGATGATGAAGACGAACCACCCCAAGAAAGACGCAGTCCAGCTGGAAGTGGTGCAGAAGAGGAGGACAAAGAGAAGGAAAGAGGGGATGATGTGAGTTTAGAATTTACTTATAGAAGTATTGATTTAAATAATTTGAACGTAGGAGGTTGAAGAAAGAAGGGAAGAGGAGGAGGAACTACCCCCTCCTGAGACAGTCATTGAGGTCGACATTCCCAAAATCACCACGGATCTTGGCAAAGAGCTTCATTTTGTCAAACTCCCCAACTTCTTGTCAGTTGAAACCAGACCTTTTGACCCACAGACTTATGAGGATGAAATAGACGAGGAAGAAACACTTGATGAAGAGGGCAGAGCTAGGTTAGAATATCCTCTAAAGTTGTTCGAACTATTATAATTAATGTTTACTAACTTCGCAGGCTTAAGTTGAAAGTGGAAAATACCATCAGGTGGAGGGATTACTTTGCAGAAGACGGATCGGTCCAGAAAGAGAGCAATGCTCGTTTTGTTCGGTGGTCAGACGGCAGCATGTCGCTTCACTTGGGTTCTGAAATTTTTGACGTCTACAAACAGCCCTTGCAGGTATTTTATTACTTTTGGGATCTTATGAAAATTATGACCCATTTCTTGTTAGGGCGACCACAACCACTTGTTTATCCGTCAAGGAACTGGTCTTCAAGGCCAAGCTGTTTTCCGCACGAAGCTCAGCTTCCGTCCCCATTCGACCGAGTCATTTACCCATCGCAAGATGACCCTTTCATTGGCCGATAGATCTCAGAAGGTTTCAGGAATTAAAGTTTTGTCAACAGTTGGAAAGGATCCTGACGCACACAGAACGGAGATGATCAAGGTTTGATATAACTCTTTCAATAAAAAAAATCAAATTGTAATTTTGTTTTCAATAATTTAGAAAGAAGAGGAGAGATTGAGAGCTTCAATGCGGCGTGAGAGCAAACAAAAGCGAGTCAGAGAAAGAGGAACAAGCAGGGGACTCAGCGCCAACTACTTGGAGCCTGATCACGAGGATGGATCTGACGACGAAAATGCCATTTCACTGGCTGCTATCAAAAAGAAGTACAAACAAGGAGGAAAAGGTAAAAGTTTGCAAAAATAATTAACAACAAGTTATTGAAACAATTTATTTTTGTTCACAGAGAGGCAGAACATTTACTCGTCGGACGACGATGACTCGGACATTGAAACAAGGAAAGGTGCCAAAGCAACTCGAGCTAAAGCGCTTCGTGAATCTGACGACGAGGAAGAGGGAGGTGAGGAAGGCTCTGGAGCATCAGGTGGCTCCGACAACGACTCTGGCTCGGATTAAGATTTTGATAATTGAAATAAATTTTGATTTTATCTTTGAAATGAGAACCATTAATTTTCATTCCTTAATAAATACAAATTGTAAAAATTGTTTCAAATAACAGTTCTGGTTTATGTAATTCATAAAGGTTTTGGTCGGTTTTGGTTTAATTGGGTTTTAATGTCGGAAGCTGGAAGCCCATCTAGATGTCGCAATCAAAGTTTTTGACTCAAGATCAATGCATGGTTATCGTTGCCGCCGCTAGGTGGATTTTGGTGGGTGCAGCTTGCTCTCTTTTTCGTCTCGGCGCCGAATGCAAGGCAAGGTGGGATAAGGAGGGGGTCGTCGAGCGAGGAAGGCAGCAGCGCAGGCGACAGACATACAACACCCAGCAGCAACTTCTTGAGTTCTTGCTCCAAGACGGGCTGCTGGCTGCAAATTATTTAATTTACCTTCTCGTAGGTGGTTAAATTTTTGCTCACCGCCCACCCCGCGCACCAACACCCCTAAACACATTGGTAAGTGAATCTTTCGGCCGAAATTCGGCGCGTCACTTTCGTCAAAAGGCCACACCGTGTGTTTGTTTTTGTCTCGCGATCGCTATGGCATGTTTCCCTCTCGAACGAGAGGAAATCACGCGCACGAGTCATCCGCTTAAACCATTAACCGCCATTCGTCGCTTTTTTAATTAACGAAATTCGGAAGAGTCAGTCGAAAATTTGAAACAATCTTCTTCCATTTAAATCGCGCATGGGGGAAGGGATTGTACTTTTTTAACAGAGGGAGGGTGAGGGGTTCGATGCTCGGAGGGGGTGCGCACCTGCCATTATAAAATTTATGCTCTCTAGTGCAACCGTTTTCAAGCGAATTTTCTAGTAGTCCATTGGCGACTTTTGGAGGCAAAAAACACTTCAAACTTGGCTGTTTTTGTTCCTGTGCTGGCTGCGGTCGAGTGAATCGAATTGATAGGCCAAGGACGAGGTGCAAATACTTTCCTTTGTGTAAGTCATGCATTAAGGTGTGAACGGTACAGAGATTATTCATGTTATGCGATATTTGCATAATCTGTGCACTTCTTGGTTGACTCTCGCTTTTTTATTGTCGACAAAAGATTGAATTTTCCTATAAATCCAACAATATTTTTGTAAATTTTATTTGATCATTTAAATCTGTTTGTAATCCCAGATGGACTGAAAAGTCGCGGTTTTCACGCCTTCCTGGTGTGCGTTTCTTTCTTCCTCTCAAATGACTCAGGAAGGTCACCTAACAGCCGTCGATTCCTTTTCCTTGGTCCCTTTTTCTTTTATTTCCTGTTTGGAAATTTCGCAATCTTTTTTTTTTAAATTTTGATTCGCCGCCGAAAAAAAATTCGACCACAAAAGGATCAAGCATTACGAAAATTGGAGACAATTTTGATTGTTGCTCCAACAACAATCAAAGTAATGTTTCACTGTTGCGATGCGCGAACCATTGGTCTGTCACTGTTGATAAGCCGATTTTTTCAGCACATTCTTTGGTGCACCGGCCAGCCCAGTGGGTGGAGAACTCCCGCTAAAGGACCCTCAGGCTGTAAGGTACCTACAGACCTGAGATATGGCCATGCTGGGTTCAAAACCCCACTGGGCTGGTCTTTTTTTCATCTTGCTATAGGTTCAATTGAATTCCAAATCACATTTACTTGTTAAAAACTTGTGAATTGAGTAAAAAAAAAATTTTTTTTGAAAAAAAAAATGCAAAACAAATATATTTTTCGGTCACGCTTTTTGAGGACACGATCTTCAAGGGCTCTTTATTATTTCCATGTTTTATTATAATTATCTTTTTAATTTAACTGTGTTCTACGCGCACAACCAGCAATTCGAATTCGTAACAAATCGCAATAATTGTTGCCGCTCTCTTTACCGATCGCAATCGATGCGGCCTTTCATTTTGCGCCGGTATATAATTGTGCACAGCTCGTTTCTCCAATTGAGTCATTAAATAGCTGCTGAGCTACTTATGTAATAACAACAAACTTCGCTTTTGCATCATTTAATCGCGTAAACGATTAGACAATAAAAATATTGTCAATCTTGACCTCGCGCAAATCAGAGACCTTGTCAAACTAGCAAAAAATCTTCAAACTCATTACCATGAATATGACGATTTTTTTCCATCATGCATTAAAGGAACTGTTCAATTTCTACTCAAATTTGGAATTAATAAAAAAAGGTTTCCTTAGTATCACTTATGTAGTATAAATTCAAAAATAGTTATTGATATAAAATTTATAACAAAATTCTTATTATTATTGTTGTTTATTTGTCAAAATTTCTACATCACCTTGTTAAAATTCAATTTTGAAAACAATTTATTTTGGGAAGAAATGAATTGTTGGGCAAAATGGCAAAACCACTTGCAAGAATTTTGCTAAAGCTCCTGAGATCAAATAGAGACTTGCAAGAGTTGATTTTATTATTTAAGTCATCCAACTATTTGCCAAAAGATGCGCACCGATAACTTGTGCTATGTGTTTGGAGTGCAATGAAAGGCTCATTTGCGTGTTTCCTGCGTGCGCGATAACGAGGCCTGGCGCAAATACTACGAACGCAGGCGCCGTGTCACTTTTCATCTCTTCACTTTCGTGCGCGCTCCGCAGTTTTCATCTTCACGCGCGATAATAATTGCGCGCAATTTCTCTTCCGCTGGAATCTTTTTACACGCCTTTCTTTTTTTTCGGAAGCCGGTGATTTTGAGGGCTGTAAAAATAAAAGGGCCTTTATTGACTACTTGCTCTTTCAAGAGCAGTCGCGTGGAAAGACTACTTTATTGCCCTGACGATAATCGGACACGCGATTCACCAAAGAAATTGCCTTTTCTAATCTGTGCTTACGTACAATGCGCTTCATTCACTCGGCAATGTAACGAGCAGTTTGCGTAAAATGAATGAAATTGGAAATCAATCTCCCATTAACTCGTCCACCTTCTGCGCGAAAGAAAGCGAAATGCAAGAAGTCATACCTTGCGGGGTATTTTATTACTCTTGTGCACAAGAAATGCTGAATAATTCGACTTGACACTGAGGTGACTGACATAACAGGGAGGTGCTGTGGAAATTGGATCGGCGCAGTATGTTCACACTTTCGTAACGGCCGCGCTAATGCTAAAAAAAAGTAATGAAATGCAAAGCTCAAATCAGAATTGAAGCCTCAAAACTGCTACACCGCACTTATAATTTTTTATAGACTTATATGGAATATTTATTAACTAAACAGTCTGGAATTTGATGTAAAAATTAAAATTTATACAAATATTTGAGTGTAAAACTTATTTTAATGAATTCTTAAAGCTTTTATCTTTTTTCAATCAAATTTAATATAATAATTCAAAATTATAATTTTTTTCTGATTTAATCGCAAGAGTTTGCTTTAAAGCTTTTTCTTTTAAATTCCAATATAAATTTATTTATTTATTAATCGCATAAAAAACCATTCTAATATCCTCCTTTTTTATAGAAAATTTAAAACTTATCATTCACAAGGATGCGATTTTGATCACATCCTCTCGCGTGTCTTCCTCTCTTCTCCGTGCACCACCCACAACTGCCGAAACGTGGATTATGTAACTTTTGTAACATGGCAACGTGCCCAGAGGCCGCAATGATCGCGTCAAGGAAATGCGCCAATTTCTAATTTTAAGTCCCTCAAATCATCGAGCTGCTCCGAGTCTCGTTGAACCCTCATTACGATTTGCGATGTTATCTTTCGCCACCGACTTGTTTGCGGGGGCCGCCTTCGTTATTGACCGACATGCACTTTATGCAAATGGACCGGCTGCATTTACGCGTCCAGCGGAAGTTCATTAACCACTCGAACGAGACCAAAGTCAAGCAAAAAATTGAACTTTCCGGTGGATGAGCTTTTTAATTCCATCCGCCTTCGAATCGGATTTTTTTTAACCAAAACGTTTCACACTCGTGTGTGCCAAATGATTTTTTGTTCGTGGAAACGGGCGCCGTGGAATTCAATTAAAAAGCTGCTTGGCGACGAAAAAAAACGCACTTTGTGTATGAATAATCCGTTTTGGAGCCCAACCAAGACGACGCGAAAATAGCCTGAACAAAAAGTTTGCTTGCGGTCACAAGTGTACTGCAGACTCTCCGTACGTGCGCTGAAATTTTCATCAGAGCTGGTATAGGGAAGGCATTGTTACTTCTCTATCGATTTTCCGCAGTCTGATTGGCTCGGCGCCCCATATAAAGCAGCTCCTTTTTGCGAATTCCTCTGATGCACCCGTTAATGTTATTATATATTTTTTTAATTACGTGCACAAGAAAAGGAAATGTGTGTCTCATTCCTTCGCGATGCAGCTTTTATAACTGTATAGGCCATTGTCCTCGGAATATTGATTCTCGACTCCGTTTCACACTCAATTTTGCCTCGCGAAATGTCCTTTTTCTCATTTTCTCCCCGCAAAATTGGCTCTCTCGCAGACCGCACACGCGAAAAGGTTGTATTCTTACTATTCTTCTCCTCGCAGTTGGATGAGTTTGCGAAAAGCATTGAAACCGAAATTCGAAAGGCCCTTTTTCTCATTCGCGGCACCACCCCAATTAAAGGTTCATCCAACTCGATTTAGTTTCGGTGCGTCCGGAAGTAAGTCTTCGTTCGTTCGAGTAAGGACGCCGCCTCTTCTTGTAACCCCAGCTGTGCATGTCAACAGAAAGAAAGACTCGTTTGCAATAAGTGTCCCGTCGTCTTTCCCAGGAACAAATAAGGCGCAATTCAATTTTGTTTGCCTTTTATGGCGCGAGCTGCTCTTTGTGAGACGAGATCATGCGTGCATTTGTTTGAATTTCGCGCAGCTGATGGCAAAAAGTATGAAATAAATTCAAATTGCCTGCTTTATATTCAGCACGACCGCTGCAAGTCTTGAATTTGCTTGCCGTGTAACCCTATCAACCTTAAAAGCGCCGATAAAAGGAAGATAACGTGAGCATATTTATTATTATAATTTGAATTGGAACCTTCAATACTCTGTTGAATGAGGTCATTTGTAATGCTTTATTGCATTGAAATCCCTTGAATTACAAAGATTTTTTTAAATATTATTTAAACGGAAAGTTATAAAAATTATTTTGTAAATTTCAGAATGAAAACAAAAGCTGAATAAAAATTTGTAAAATATTTTTAATCCAGCAAATTTAAAGTTTTCTCTCATTCACATGCAAAGCTCCAATTTTTTCCATTTCATGACAAATTTCTGAAAGAGAGTCTGATTGAACTTCTTATCTTTCTCTCCACAAGGGCGGCGCTCTCATTCACTACTTTTGGCCTCCATTCATGCGAAAATCAAACTGCGGCCGATTGCGTGCGGTTAAGTGTAAATAAAGTTTGTCATCAGCCCCCAAGGTCGCACACTTAAAGATACCCCTATCTTCTCCTTGGCCTTGGATATCTTTACGAACTCTCGCACCCCATGGAAGAAGGTTCTCCTCCCTTGTAACAACAACATTTGCTCGTAAATAGCCTTCGTAAATTAATTTTACTACCATTTTGTCGCCTGGAGGTCAGAGGCAATCTTTCCTCCTAGATTCTCTGTTGATTTTGCAAAAGGCGTGGTCGTTCAAAAGAGTGTCCAGATAAATAACAATTTTTTTGCGTTTCTTCTTCTTTCTTTCATTAATGTAACATCCTCGAAACACGCTGTTGCAGCAAACGATGGAGCAATTATTATAATTTTTCTCACAGGGAGCGCCGGAGTTTTTGTTTTGCTGCTCGGCACCGAAATTATCTCTAATTGAGGCAGCGCGCGGCGTCCTTTTTTCTCGCGGTGACCCTGCATGACCTTCTTATTTTGCTTTTCGCGGCCGACAACGAAATAAAATAATGCAAGTTTGGTCGGACACGACTGTTCCCCCCGAGGCAGGAAGACACCGAATTCCGTTAAGTGTCGTGTTCGCACCAACTCGCAACAGCACTTTGCTATTTTCGGCCAGATGCATTTTCCGTGTTGTTTTCCGATTCACTTATATAAAAGGAGAGTATAATGAACTTTTGTGATGCGTCACAATAATCAGGTGTTACAAACATTTGAGCAATGGAAACAAGATAATTTAAGTCTAAGGTTTCCAAGGTTTTCGTAAAAAATTTAGCTTTTAAATTTACTTTAACTCTTTTTATTAAGATTTAATCAAGTCATTTATATTATATATTTTGTAATTTCCAAAATCCAAACTTAATTTTTAGGATTTGGAGCAAATTTTAAATTTATTTATTTTTATTCTTCCAAATATGCGATGTGGAACCTTTTTCTTATGTAATTTACTTGCATTGATATTTTAGTATTAATTTTATTATCATTTTTTTTTTCATTGAAATCAAATAGTTTTGTGATTTGTTCTGCAAATCATAGAATAAATCGGAGAGTAAATCGATCCTGCCTGCGTTTTGCATATTCGATTACCTGCGCTGCACCCACTCGTTGAAATTGAACTGTCATCGGGGGCATGTGCGCCAACGACGATTGGATTTCGCGGCGGCGCGAGTGAGTTAACGCGAGAAAACCGATACACGTATTATTATTCTTGTTAATGCATGTGCAATCGCGGTGCGCGGCGAAAGAAAGGCTTGTAAAAATTCACTTGCCTCAGAGCGAATGTGCGAAGGCGCGAAAAAACCGTTCAAATATAATGATAATCATTATTACTCATCACCATATTCGCCTCTGCTCGACGGCGTTGTTCACGCCAACTTAATGACGCTGCTCCAGTAATCAGCGCAGAAACGTTGATTTATTAGACTCCTTTATTGCTGTTTAATGTTCAATTGTGATTCATCATCGCTGCGAATAAAAAAAATTAAAAAAAAAATGCTGCCAGTTTATAATTTAAAATTGTTTTCGCGAATTATTTTAAGATATAAAGTTAATATTTGATTTGAATTCACATTTTTGTGAGGATTCGAATAATTAAATAAGTCTTCAGGCAAATACATATTTCTGTGCACCAAAGTCAATAATCGTTTCTCACTCAATTATAAAAGCACAAAAGGCATGATATCGAAATGGAAATTTATTCTGTTGCGCTCATCTATAATTACCCGTTAAACAGTTATTCTTGCGGAAACGCGACTACCGTGAATCATCACCGTGTTTCTTTCTTCTCTGACCGACATCTCGTGCGTGGAGAATTAGATTAATGGGAAAGTTTTGTTTTGCTGATACGCTGCTTCTGGACCTACCGCGAAAACAATGGACCTCTCTTTTTGCCTGTTTTTTTTCTAAACATATCTCGTGAGAATAAAAATTCGGTAGAGAAATTCTTAGTATAAGCTAATTTCATTTCTAAAAGATACAAAAATGAATTATTAAACGAAAATAAAATAACAAAGGAGTGGTCGGTGGGTTGTCTGGAAATTCACATATAATAGTGAGTCACTTTTGGGTGATGATGAAATGTCAACAAATCTTTCACTCTCATTAGGAAATGGGATTATCATGAAGAAGCTCACTTTCGGTGACTAAGAGCGCAGCTAATAAACGGAAGTCTGGGAATTCTTTAACCTTACAAAAGCATCTTAATAGTCAGGGTCTCTTTCTTTAAAGGAAACTTTAATATTTACCCACTCAACCGTCGAACACACACAAATTATTCGCTCTGACCCACCTGTGGTTTTGTTAAGGGGCCTCTTTAGAGGATTTTTCGCCATTCCTTTTGGTCGACCGCAAAATTCTGCCGCACCAAAGTGTGTAACTGTCTTCAATCATTATAAATATTTCTATCAAAACAAATGATAATTTTTTTGAAATGTGTTTCAGGTCCAGTTCGAGCGCTGTCTTACCATATGATCTGCTAATCGGAATCCGACCCGGCTTTTTTCATCCGCTAAGGTGAGCAGTAAATTTTATTATTTATGTACGAAACAAGACTGAAAGTGCGCGCGAAAGTGTAGGCTCAAAAGCAGCTCGTTATGTTATGATGTTGATCTAACCAAGTTGAGAAATGAATAGGCTTGTTCACCTCTCTCATGTGGGTTAGTCGAAATGCACGCCGTTATTTACCGAACTCGTTACATTTCTTGTATTTTATTATGTAAAGAGCCGACACCAGCAGTTGATAATTAATTACAAGGTTTGTGCACAAGTGCGCGTTTTTCTCTCTCCTCAGTGTCACCCAAGTGAGTGAAAAATTTATATTCTGAAGGCTGCTTTAAAATTTATGAATGCAAATCTTCGCTTAATTCGGTGGAAATTTTCATGTGATTATGATTCTGAGGTTCGTGCTGTCCATAACGAGACTAATTCGCCAGGTAAATACCGCGGTGGCCATCGACATTGCTTTACCGTTTCGGTTCCCATAACCGGCGCTGGAAAATTTAAAATAATTTCCTCAGCGACCTACGCCTGGGTAATAAAAAATAAAAAGCATTTTTGGCTCCGAAAAGTTTCGGTACCACCCGATTCTGTGCGGCCGGCCGGCGGGCCATCCCCTCCCCAAAAAGAGATCGGCCGCGTTATTTCAGGCCTTGTGTTGGTTCAGTCGTACTCGTCTCGTGGTCCTGGGTGCAGCTCGCAGACGAACCTCACACATATTTACACATTACACCAATCCCTCCGTTGCACAATTTTACTCTTATGGAGTAACCCGAGCAACTAACAACACCGGCAGGTAGGAATTTGCCCGATTGTTTTGAATTAATCTAATTTTTTTATATAATTTATATTAATTAGTCTGGAAACAAGTCCATAACTAATTTTAGTCCTGCACTTTTCAATTACTTAAACCAAATCGTAAAATCTTTGAAATTTCTATAAATTTCTTGAATTTAATTTGTTTTTGTTTTCTCGTCAATTTATTTGGTTCTATTTTGAAAGTAGATCGGTGTTTGTTAATGACCGAGCATCGTTCTCCTAATTAACTCTGGTGACGACTGCCGGCAGTTGTTTCTAAATATTTGAACCAAGAGCACGGGAGCTTTTATCGCGAGCCTCTTATCTTTCTATACAGCTGATAAAAGAGTGCACTCTTCATTTCGATATGACTATGACCGTCTGTGATTACGTTGCTGTTTACTGTGTTGACGGACTGCTTTTTCTTGCGTGAAGATAACTGGAATTTCATGAAAGGTCTCACCATCCGAAGAGGATTAAGCGTTGCGTTAAAGGCGATAAGTGAGACTTTTATGCTAAGGCGAATTGCATCACTCTCGGAGCACTTAAGCTCTTGACAATATTTAACCGATTGACCGAAGAAAGAAAAATTTCTACTCAGTGAGAGCTTCTTAATAATTTCACGCTATCTTGATCGCAGCAAATTCAGAGCCGATCATTAATTACCATTCGAGGCGGAGAAATTTCCTATTTGGGATGCTCCCTTTTTCCTTTCGCTAGAGGTGCAAATCTGTATATCCAATTTTTACCAAATTCAATTTGCAAAGAGAGAAAGTAGTGGATACATTTATGAATTTTGCTTTGAACGCACGCGACAAAGAAGCACCTCGAGCTGAGAGCAGGTGTAATTATAACAGTGGTTAATTGCAGAAGAAATTATTATACCCACGCGCGTGATAATTAAGTCTCTGACTCACGCCACTGTAAATATCTTTGAACAAAAACTTGGTTTTATTCGAGCCAGTCTGTTTATTTTTCAATTACGCTTTTTGTACTCTTTATACCGCAAGTGAAATCGGTCTTTGCAATAGCAATTGCACTTTTTACGTAAGCCGCCCGTGCAGAAATCTAAATTCGTGCATGTCATTCAACACCGCAATAGCAGCAATTTTAAGTAAGTGGCCTGCTTGCGCGATTTGCCGCGCTCGCTGTCGTAATACAAATCGATTTTGTGGAACAAGTACAGCGCAAGTAAAAGCAATCAACCGTGCTTTTATCTAAAATTTTCAGAAAAGTGCACTTATTAATAAATAATTATTATTAAAATAAATAATAAATAATTCATTTCTGCCCTGAAACAACATCTCTAAATCTTCCCATTTGTGGATTTAGTTTCGCGTAACATTTTAATTTATCAAAAGTTTTTTAATTGAATATTTTTTTGTTCTTCAATACTTATTTGTACTTCAATTTGCAAATGCTTACGTTGATTTTCTTTATCATTTTAGTTTTTAACGTGGCGAAATGAAACAGTTTTTCTTCCAAGTGCGACCCCCACAGAGCATATTAAGATAAGCTTCGTCAACTTGCACCATAACTCTAATTAATCCGCGCAGCCTTTATCAGCAAACCAAGGCTTTCTGCGCGCTTTTTTACTTATTATTTATCCAATCGGAAAACGAGGACAACAGATAAAAACACTATCGATATTTTTTCAGATTAATTAATGCACGCCGAGCGCGCCCACGGTTGGACATTGAGCAAAACGTGGCCATGCACTCGCTTGTCACATCCAGTGACAATAAAAGCAGCCGAAAGAGCGGCTTTCTTATTCTTTCTTTCAGACTTTTCAGGTCACGGGAAACAACTATACGAGTAATTAGCATAATATGCGAGCACGCGTCGAATGAAATCTGTATTTTTGAGAGATCCGCGAGATGAGCGACTTCTCCTCGTTTATTTATTCGTGAAAAAAGTGGTTCCGAAAGTATGGCGTCTTCTCTTTATTTCCTATCATTGAATGGAAGTCTCACGACGGTCTGCGCGCGTGTTTACAAATAAGGAAGAAAGAGTTGCACTCGCCGCTTTATAAAAGTAAACAAAGCATTAAAACGACGATGCTAAATATTTGCTGCCGTGGCGGAAAAAAAATTTGCACATGCCTCTTGAGCTTGACTTTGTTATGTTGGCGCTTTTATTGTTTTCTTCGGCTCTGTTTGTTCTGGGGCGCTTGTCTTCGGGCAAATTAACTAAGTCAAGGACCACGCCAATTTCACGCCGATCTTGCATTGGCTCGAGCTTGTAAACTGGCTCAAGATTGATTCACGCTTCTGGCGATCGGAACTTGTAAAATTATTCTCAATTTTATATATATTTATTTTAAGCAAAATTTAGAAGATTATGAGCCATCAAAGAGAATAATAAATCACATTCCCTCATTTTTTGTGCCTCGTCAGAGACATTTTCTAAGCAAGATGATGAATCGCGCAGCATCCTTGGATTTATTCAGCCGCGACTTAGCATCAAATCCCCGTCTAATTCTTCATCGCCCCGTTTTTATTAGTTGAAAAATTCGCTACCCACTTGCTCTTTTCTTCAGAGCACACACACGTGTCTTTCTCTCTCTCTCTCTCGAAGGCACCTGCTTTTGACCAAACGGCCGCTGCTTCTCTCGCGTGCAGAAATAGTATAATTTGGCATGGCCCGACTTGGCGTGGACTAAATTTAGCGCAACTCCAGCGGCAGCGCGAGAGCATCCCTATATCCAAAGCTCCGCCGTTGCAATCGAGCAATGTCAATGGTATGTTTTATTGGCCTCGGCAGCTGTTTTCACCCGGCCTAAAATCAACAGACACTTGCGTGCAAAATTAGCTGCTTTCTCGGTTTTCAAGTGGCGTTGGATTTATTTTACGGTCTGGCTGAAAACAAACGCAAACTCCTTGACAATGTAGTTGTGCAAATAATTTTGTCAGGTTTTTTTAATCTCAATATGCAAACATACTGAAAGATCGGAATTATTAATTTAAAAAAAAAAATTTAATCGTATTTTAAGTTTTGAAAAGCCGATATAATTTTCATTTTTCCGTTTTCATTCTTCTCAAATTTGTCTGTTCTTTTTATCTCTCCCTTTGACTGTTTTGATCAGAGACTAGAACGAATTATTTACTCTGTACCGTTTGCCAACACACAATCAAAGCTCAAAGATTATAAACCGGCCAGATGATGGGTCTCCTCTTCTTTCTATACTCGTGTGCGATTAGAAAAGTCTTTCCAGTAACTGCGTCAGAGTAGGTCAACGTTCATCCCAACCAAAACAAACAACTCTCATTAATGAGTGTGCGGCCGTCTGCGGGGACAAAATCCTCAATCGTTGCAGCTTCTGGTGGTGCGATCAAGAGCTGCGAGTTTATTATTTCGACAACGAGAGCAAACGCAGCGACACAGATGAGCCGCCGCTATTTCGGTTTGAATAATAACGCACGCGTCAAAAAGCCAAATGGGTTAGACAAACCGAGCACACGATATTGTCTTCGAACGAGGTTCTTTTTTATTCTCTGCTGCCGGACCCGAAGACGAGAGTAAAAAAAAAATGTATCTTTGTTCCTCGTCGTCTTGCATCGTGACTCGCCCAGAGAATTTTTGATTATCACACCACGTTGTGTGTGTATTATGGTAAAAAGCAGCAACACACATTTAATATTTATGTACACCTCTCTTGTGGCCTCATTCGGCCGCGGTGATAACACATGCACGAGCGCAGAGACAAGCCATAAAGGCTACTTTCCACGACCAAAATTATTATCGCCTTCCTTTCCACTATCGCAGCTTTGAAAAGTCCAGCTGGTGACCGTGCGAGGCGAGGTGCTGGAAATTTAAAGACAGAGCCGCCGAGTTGTCCTCATATTTGCTGGCTAGACTTTTTTAGAGTGTGGTGAACCTTAACAGTAACTTTCTCCAAACAGTTTTGAATAAACCCTTTGTTTGAAATTTAGAAACTTTTTAAAAATTCACAGTAATTAAAACAAAACATTGGGAAATATTGTGAAAATAATTTTTAAAATAAGCATTTTTGGTTGAAAAGTTTAAATTGAGGCTTATAAAAATTATAATATTATGATGAGCGTTTTAATTCCAAATTTAATTAATATTGAAACCGGGCGAACTTTGTTGCAAAGGAAAAATGAAAAAATAAAGGACAACTGATCCCAAAAGGAATTGATTAATTTCTGTTAAGATTATATTCTCCCCATTTAATTTTTATTTTGTCAAGAATTCCTTCA